CGACCGTTTTTGTCTTGAAGGCACCAATAGTGTTCTCATGGATTACATCAAGAAGAACGGTGCTTTTGCACTTGGGGCACCTTGGATCTTCCTCGGCTAACATCACGTACATAAGGCACCTCGGGCAGCCGACCAGCATCATCGACGTGGCCTCCGGGCTCGACGACGAGTACCTGTCCCAGTCAGCGCCAGCCTGGCTCCTCTCTGAAGACACGCACGAGCTTTGTGGGGATGTTGGGGACACAGCCATGGGCTGGGCCGGGGATTCGGGCCCAGGCCCACGAAAGCCCATCGCTGGCCTTGGTGGGGACAGGTTCAGCTTCAGGTCCAGCTTCGGTTGGTTCCTGCGACTCATCCTCGTTTTTAGAGTGTGTGTGTGTGTGTGTGTGTGTGTGTGTGTACCTGTGAAGAGGCCTTATTGAGTTTATAGCAAGAACATAAAGTTGGAGTTGAGGTTTTTGGTTTGGGAGACCTCAAAAGGGGATGGTATTTATATAAAAAGGGATGGAGTGAATAGGTGGGAGAGAGAAAGAGAGAGAGGGAGAGAGAGGTGGGAGAGAGAGATGCCTTAAAGGCTTGTAATAAAAGTTTTATGGTGAGAGGAGGGTAATGAATGGAATTGAATAGAGTTTGGAGGAGTAAAATTGTATTAATTGCATTCTTGGAAGGGAAGATTTGAAGAGGGGAGGAAAAAGATGGTTTGCTGTGAAGGGTAAAAATTTGTAGTGAGTGAATATTTTTGCCATAAAATCTGCTGAGGAAGGAAGGCCGTCATTCATTGCCCGCCTAGTTGGTGTGTGTGTGTGTGTGTTTTGAGGAATGAGATTTCTTACTTTACTTTCATGTTCTTCCATTTCGTTGGATTAATGACACGTGTAAATGATGATGTCATATCTGTGCACGTGTCGTCCGTTGATGGAATACGAAATGGAACATGAAAGTGGAGCAAGAAATCTAAACTCGTGTTTTGAGAGGTTTTGTGTTCGTGTGTGTGTATTTTGAAAGGTTTTGTGTGTGTGTGTGTGTGTTAGATGCATGTAGTGATATGCATACAACAAAATACATAAAAGTTCAGCTGTAGCATAAGCCATTAAAGTAGACCTTAATTTCTAACAAATCCAACCACACCTATTAATTAAATTTTATTTATGTAAGAATGCCCAAAGGTGGTGTTTGATAATTAGGAGTGTAAGTTTTCTAACAAATCCAACCGCACACCTATTAATTAAATTTTATTTATGTAAGAATGGCCAAAGGTTGGTGTTTGATAATTAGGAGTGTAAGTAAATGAATTGAGTTTGGTGTGAATGTTGATTTTAAAATTTGATTAACGTTTAGATAATTATATTTTTAAAAAGATGCATACATGGACTAGACAATCATATTTTCTTAAAAAGATTTATAAATAAAATGTCATACTTTTATTTATATTTTATTTTATAATGTAATATTTAAGTATGAAAATATATATTTGTGCCACTAGTTCATAATCATCAAGCACAATCTAGTAGGAGACCTACCGATTGAATTGAAATAAAGCAGTTTGTTTGTATTATTATTATTATTATTATTATTATTATTAAAATTTAAAAACCATGTGAGAGCATGGTATGGTTGATAATGGGGTGGTTGATAATATTTTATTATCAAATCCAACAAAAAGAAACAAATAGTAATAATAAGGAGAAATATTTTGTTGCTTATAATATCATCTATCCTTTCTAGAGCATCTCCAATAGTGAGATGTAGCTGTAGTAAATTATATTTTATATTAACAATTTAGCAATGTCTCTACTTTTAATCTTATAATGCACAATGTAATCACAAATGTAGTGATGAGGTGGACATAATTAATGTCCACAATGTAGAGAAGAATGTGGTTCATTCACATTCTCTTTCACATTTCAATCAATTAATTGAGAGATGAGAGAGAAATATTATTACCATTTTCAAAATATCTAAATTATTTAATTTTTTCGGTTTCTTATTTATAACTTTTTTATTTTTGCTAAGTGGACAATATTATGTTTGATTACATTGTGCATTGTAAATAATTTTTTAGATTTAAAGTTGTGAACTTAACAAATATCTTATGTGGTTCACAATCCATCTAAATAATTGACACTTGTCAAAATTTATATGATAATAATATTTATGCATTGAAGATGCTCTTAGCCTTAAGCTACCAAAATCCTGAATTTAGTTACAATTGATACATGTTTTCCATGTTATGATATCATGATTGACCTTAATTTCTGGACTTGAGGTTGATGATATGTGTCTGTGGCCGCCACAAAATTTTATGTAAAAGAGTTATTTACATTTTGAAAATTAAACTTCTGAATAATGAAAAATTATTTTAAACAAATGCTACACTACTTTTGGCGCCATCATGGACATAGACAATTCTAATCATGTTTTGTTTATAGAATTATAAAATTCAAATGTTTTAGAAAATAATATTGGCAATTAATCTGAGGCGAACAAGAAAACAGTTACACCCCATGCTACAGGAATGTAATGGATGTAATACAATTTGATATAATTTATATATGATTAGTTTTATTCATAACACATGCATATATACAAAAATTAGTATTCATCAAATGCAAACATTATTATTTGTTAAAAAT